AACTGGTCTTTTTTCTCTGCCATTAACCTCTTCCAGGAATAATTCCAGTAGTGGGATCACAAGGTAAAAGGGTGTAGACACTTTTGTAACTTTTTTTTTACATAGTTCTATACTACTTTCAAAAAAGGTTGAACCAATTAATAGGCTTAGCAGCACTGTAATATTGTACCTGCTTTGACCACAAATGTGCTAACAGAGACTTTGATAATCTTCTCTTATCTTTGCCAGTTTGATGGGGCATCAGGTAGAACCTCTAAGTTGTTTTGATTGGCATGTATCTGGTCATTTAGAATTGTGAACGTTTCTTCATGAGTGTGTTAACAAGCTTTATTCCTTTCAAGAATTGCTTGTTCATGTCCTTTGACTATTTCCCTATTTATCTAAATGTAAGAGAATTGTCCTTGTTCTTAAAAATTTGTATCACTTCCTTATATATTTTGCATGTCCAGCGTTTATTAGAAATGTCTGCTACAAATATTTTTCCACGTTTGTTTTTCATTTTTATTTTGGATGCATATCATTTATTTAGTCTCATCATGTGTGGTATCAGATGCTGGTCTGTTCTGGGTCTCAGTTTCTTTCCTGAGTGAAATGAAAAAGTCAGGCTAGATTAGGGGTTCTAAGGGTTCTTGGGTCTGTGGATAGATTTGGGTGCATTTTTTTTTGTTGGGGTTGTTATTTTCAGGCAAAGTAAAACATTGTGTATTGAAAAACTAGAATATTGTCTCAGCTGAACCAAGAGGGAAGGACATTTGTCCACACCTAGGTCAAGGGAGTCCTGAGAAGCAAAGCGTGTGGAGGGGGGACATCAGGAGTGACTACTTCAGCTCCAGACTGAAAAGAAAAGGCAGCACTGAGGCTAAGCGGGAGGACAGTTCTGGAGGGGAAGCCACCTGAGGACTTGTCATCTTCTTACCCTGGATTTCCCTTCCAGGGCCTTTTCTGTGGAACCAAAGATTTGCAGCCCAGCTCTCCAGACACTAGAGGCACAGCCGGGGGCTGGGCTGTTGGTTGTCCTGCTAGGCATGTTTGGGTCCCGCTGGCACAGGAGGAGTTGGGGCATTTTCAGGAACCCAGAATCAGCTAATGCTTCCATGCTGCTTCCCTCCTTCCCCCAACCAGATGCCTGTGTGTGTCATCCAGCCTCCCCGAGACAGACCACCAGGCTGATTCAGAAAGAATCGCACAGGTACATTGGGGAGGAGGATCTGAGCTAGCAGGAATTCATCTCCTAGCCAGGGGTGGGGAACTTGTGGCCTCAAGGCTACAGGTTTCCCACCCCTGCTAGACACTAGGTGGGACAGTAGGTAAGAGCCCTGGACTTGGAGTCCTGAAGACCTGAGTTCAAATCCTGCCCCAGACATTTACTAGCGGTGTGATCCCAGACAAATCACTTAACCTTTCTCAGCCTCAGTTTCCACCCCCATAAAATGGGGATAACAACAGCACTTATCTCTCACAGGGATGTTGTCAAAATCAAATGAGATTATATATGGAGAAAGAGGAGAGAGAATTATACATATATACACACATACATACATGTACATGCATCTGTATCTATAAACAGTTATACAAATGCTAGCTATTATCACTGTTATCACCCAAGTGTCCTAACTCTGGCGGCCCCTTATTGCCTCTAATTATTTTTCTCCCCTGGCCCCTCAGTCTCAATACAATAAATACTTATTAAGTGTCAGCTCTGTGCCGGGAAGCCTTTCTCTCTCCCTTTGTTCTTTGGTCACTCTGACCTTAGATACCAATAGGCTTAGCAGCAAAGTGGCTGGTAAAGGCTTCGTTCTTGTCGTATGCTTCTGGTGCTGACAGGTTCTGAAATCACAGTATTGTCTTGCTTAGTCTCCCCATCTGTGAAATGGGGGTAGCAATACCCTATCCCCACCTCTGGATGAAAAGGAGCTGAAAGGGGAGGCCCCGAAAAGGAAACTCCTCAGTTCGGACTGGGGAGATGCTGCCGGAGGGGGGGGGGGCTGGGGCCAGGGGTCAGATGGGGGTGGAGGGTGGGGAGGTCATTAGCTCGGAGCGTCTCAAACTCCTCAGCAGATCACAGATTTTGAGCCAGAAGGAACCTTAGAGGCCCGCAAGCCCAACGCTCCTCATCCGAAACCTCAGAACCTCTCCACTTCCACATGAGGGTGCTGAGTCTCAGAAAGCTTACACGACATGCCCAAAGTCATACCGGTAGTTGCGGGGCATCAGTGCTATTTTTTGTCAGGGGATAAGGAAGTAACAGTTTCCGGAGCCTCAGGTCACAAGGCTTAGGCCATCAGTTCTAATCGAAGGTTGTGAGCCTGAGGCTGTTGTGAGGAGCAGTATGTGCTGGGCTCAGGGAAAAGTCCTCCCTCCCCTCAAGAGGGTTCTGAGGAACATCCTTTGCTAGGCCTGGAGGATCTCTTCCCAACACGACTCCCTTCCCTTCCGCTCCATCCCCACCCCCCATCCCCACCTCTCCATGAGACTAAATGATTTTATCCCTGAGCCTTAGGTCCCAGAGGATGTCAGGAGGGGACAAAGGAGCCCTTTCTAAAAGAGGGTCAGGCTGTCAGGCGGAGCAAAGACAGGTGGCAATTTATGCATCTAGAACAAGGTGGGGGAGAGAGAGGGGGAGCCAAGGCCGGGAGATGATGGTGCTCCCCCAGCCTGACACTCCAGATGGAGGTTCTCTCACTGGCAAACAACCTGCTCGAGGGCCAGGGTGAAGGGCTGGGAGACAGAGAACACTTGAAGGTCTGACTGCACTCTTCACACACTAAGTGCTGTTCAGGGGGCTGGCCCTTAGGCCAGGGGTTCTTCTTTTTGTCTCATGTACCCTCTGGGCAGTCTGCTGAAGCTCAGGAACCCTTTCTCAGAATCATGTCTGTGGCCTGCATTCATATTTGAAGGAAGTGCTAAATTTCAGTTAGAGGTTAGTGAGAATAAAGATGGAATTTCTTCCTCCATTCAAGTTCAAGGACCCTGGGAAATCTGTCTTCAGATCCCTGTGGACCCCAGGTTAAGAACCCCTGATGGAGAAGAATAAGTGAGTAGGATCATTCTGAGTTTTACCATCCTATACCTCCAGAATACTCACTTTTCTTCTCTCTTCCTATGCTCTTCTCTTTCTTCTCTCCTCCTGCTCTTCTTCTTTTTCTTTTCTTCTTCTTCTTCTTCTTCTTCTTCTTCTTCTTCTTCTTCTTCTTCTTCTTCTTCTTCTTCTTCTTCTCCTCTCTCTCTCTCTCTCTCTCTCTCTCTCTCTCTCTCTCTCTCTCTCTCTCTCTCTCTCTCTCTCTCTCTCTCTCTCTCTCTCTCTCTCTCTCTCTCCCCCCTCCCCGCCCCCAGCAAAGTCACAGAAAAGGAGGCAGTCATAAGTGGTGCAAAAGCATGGAAGTCAGGATCCTTGGGTTCTATGCTTAGCTCCATGACCAACCTTCAGTGTTACCTTGACCTAAGATTGGTCATCTGTACAATCACAGGATAACAGATCCAGAACTGGAAGGGACCTCAGAGCTATTCTAGTCTAATCCACTCATTTTACAACAGAGGAAACTGAGGCCCAGGGAGCTTAAATGACTTGTCCAAGGTCACACAGTGTCAGAGACAAGAACTGAACCTTGATTCAATGGCTCCAGAGCCAACACTCTTTCCTCTGTGCCATCTTTATTTTTCCAGCTCTAAAATTCCATGTTCTCTGTTATTGTCCAGTTAGGGGCTTACATATATTTTTACTTTTAATTTCCATGGAAAATTCACAGCTGAACCAATCCACCTCTCCTGACTGGTCCTGACTTCTTTGGCTCTACCCATCCCAACATGCCTAACTCCCCTAGTGAGCACCCTGCCCTGGGGGAAATCCTGCACCCTTGGTTCATTTTTGTATTGTTCATTGGCCAACTGATTCCAACATGGGACACTGGTCTTTGGGCAATAGTCCTTTGTTCCCCTTAAACTCAGAATTACCGAATTTTGGAGGTGTAAGGGACTTCTGAGAATTTCTGAGGAATCCCCTCCGCCTCCTGGTGGTCTCTCTGTCTTTGCTTAAAGGCCTCCAGTGATGGGGAATCCCCTTCCTCCTGAGGTAGCTCCTTCTACTTTTGGACAGCCCTGAATGTTGGGAAGTTTGTTCTTATGGTGAATCAAAGGGGTAGTAGGATGTTGAGGAAAGACCGCTGGAATAGGGATGAGCAGATCCAGATTAAAATCTGGCCGTTTAATCGATTAGGGTCTTAGCTTCCTCACCTGCAAAATGGAGGGATGGGACGAGGTCACTTTTAAGGTCTAAAAATCCTATGGCATGTGATTCTTCTATCCACTGCTTCTAGTTCCACCCTTAAGGAATTAACAGAACAACAGAGGTGAGGAACCTGCAGCCTCCAGGCCACATGTGGCCCTCTAAGTCCTCAAGTGTGGCCCTCGAGGACCTAGAGGGCCACATGTATCCTCTGGGCCACAGGTTCCCTACCACTGATATGACCCCTCTACCACAAGTTCTTCAAATACCTAAAGCCACCTATAACATACTCCCAGGTCTTCTCTTTTCTAGGATGAACATCCCATTGTGCCTCCATGGCTCCTTCAGGGGTATGGCCTCTACTCCCTAGTTGCCTCTCTAGAAACTCCAAGTTCAAGAACTTGGAAATCTAGCATAATGTAGCATGGAGGGTGGAATGTTGGACTTGGATTCAGGAAGACCTGAGTTCAAATCCTGCCTCTGACACTTACTCTATGACCATCACCATGGATAAGTCACTATACCTCTCTCAGTCTCAGTTTCCTCAACTGTAAAATGGAATTCTAATAGCACCCACCTCCCAGGGTGGCTGAAATATTTGTAAAAGGCACTTAACACAGTGCTTGGCATAAAATAGGTGCTCAATAAATGCTTATTCCCTTCCCTTTTCCCTTCCCCTAATTATACTCCCACCTCCATACCGCAGGACTCAAGGCCTGCCCCAAGGCCCTTGAACTCAACCCCCACCAGCTCCTCCACATAAGCACCATGGAGTCTCTTGAGATGAGGTTTCACTTTATTGGTACATCAGGCTCACAGATAAACCAGACAAGGCTGGACACACTGCAAGAAGAAAGTGCCAACAGAGGGGCCCAAAGGTGGCAGCAGGCAAGGAGCTCATTCTGTCTCTCAGTGCTCTGAGCCTAGAAAGATACTTCACCTACAGGAGGGCAGGCTGTTGCCAAGTGATCCATACTGAGGAGACTTAGAGCTAAGGGACTGGAATTATCTGTGGGAAGGACTAGTTAAAGGCAAAAAAATAGAAAACATCAGAAAATGCCCATTCCCCAAATACATTAGACATAGAAATACTAAGTTCTAAAAACATATTTTTCAAGCTTCTTGTCAGAAACCAAGCACCCATTGAACATGGGCTCCAGTTACATAAGATGAAACCTGCCATGGCCCTCTTGCCAGGCATGAATCTGATGCCCAGGGCAGGGCTGGCTCAACCCCACAGAAAGTCTGTAGTCCCAACCCTCAGAGTACAAGCAACTGCAGGAGAGGTTTCCCAGTTAACAAACATGGAGACATTTAAAGAAATCTAATGAGACCCTAGAATTACTAACCAAGGAGCTTCAACATTCCCAAGATGCCTTTGCCAAGCATAGCTTGCTAAGTGAAGTCTTCACTATTTGGTTCTGGAATTTAATTTAGGCTTGACCAAAAAGCACATTGGGTGAGGCAGTGATATCACAGCTTGGACCGTCCAATCATTTTCTCTTCTAAAACCGGAAAGGCTTAGGAACCAGAAAACTCTCCAAAGGTCATCTAATCCATTCCCCTGTTCCTGGAGTCTTACCTCTAAGAAGTCAAGGAACACATGTCTTCTCTGATCTCTAGATAGTCATCAGAGAAGAGGATTCCTTAGTTTTTCTTGCTCCCCAGTGCCACCATCTTCAAACATGGGGAAGATAGGCTAATATATCATGGCAACAACTTGCCAGTGGAGTATTTCAGATTTTGTGAGGAGCCTTTGAGAGACTAAACGGGGTGGTGGAGCATTATAATAAAGGATGGGAAGATATTCAGCTTATTCCAGGTATCAGGAGCAGCTGTGGTTTGTACTCTGGTGAGCAGGGATTAATCTGTTTTTGAGAGCGAAGAAAGGGCAGGGCCAGAGAGAGGAGATGAGGGGGTCCAGAGAAAGACAGAAGACTTGAAGAGAACATAGCTGAAGTGGAGAAAGGCACTGTCCCTTCCATGGAACAGTTTAGGGTGGGACAGGAGAGGAAGAGGCCAGGTGGGAATGTCAGGGATTCCTGACCCCACAGAACTCACTGTTGTTGCCCAGGATATTTGGACTGTGTCTGTGCCTGGGCGGAGGCTGGGAGGGTGGTATCTTGTGAATAAACCTGTGAAATAAGACAGGGACAGTGTGGCCACAGGACTGTTCCCACATCAAGGAGCTGGGAGGTGTCTTGGCAGCTCACACTGTGAGTTCTATTGAGAACTAATGGGGTAGATGGACAGGATGGATTCTCCTCCTCTCTATCCTGTCCCTTATTTTATCATCTACTGTGAGGTGTGGGGACATTGGCAGTGAATGAGTAAAAAGGTTTATGAATCTCTGCTAAAGAATGAGTATAGATCTGTGGAATTTCTGATGGGAATTCCAATAGGATCATCATCGTCTGACTTCTCCTAGGTTAACAACATGGTGGAACTGTAGTGTAAACACCTATTCTGATACTCCAACTCGAAAAGCTTGAGTAGCAAACGCTCACCATCTTACCAGCTCCCTACACAATGTCAGAACTGGAAGGGCTCTATTTAGACCAGGGGCGGGGAACCTGAGGCCTCGCGGCCACATGTGGCCTTGTAGGTCCTTGAGTGTGGCCTTTTGACTGAGTTCAAGTTTTATAGAACAAATCCTTTGTTCTACAAAGTTTAGATTTCGTTAAAGGGCCACACTTGAGGACCTAGAGGACCACATGTGGCCTTGAGGCTGCAGGTTTCTCATCCCTGATTCTAGTCCAATCTCATTAATTTACAGGTGAGGAAACAGTGGAAGTGACTCATCCAAGGTCAGACAAGTTACTGATGGCAGGTAGATATAAACCCACATTCCTTGGCTGTCCAGTATTCCCTTGACTACTCTGTAGTGTCCTCCCCTCCCCAACTGGAGATCCCCGGGCAGCCCCATCCCAGCAACCAACACCTATATGGCCAAATCTTAAGCCACCCCCTTGCCTTCACTTTCCCTGTCCCTTCACCCTCTATGCCCTCTAGCTGGCTAAGTCCATCTCATAAAAATTGATTACAGGATTAATAGCTGATAATAGTCCTCAGAGAACTATCTGTTATTATTTGAACCAGAATCCTCCATTGTTTCCCCAAAACGAGTGACTGATGTTGGCATTCTAGACATATTCTGGAAGCCCCCTCCAGCTCCTCGTGGCAGGCATCCCCCATCCTGGCGCCATCACTCCTGTACTTTCTCCCCTTTTTATTCCTCTTGCTGTCTCACCAGCCCTACAGCTCTCACCTCACAGTTCCTTCCACAGAAGAGACAGAGTGGTGGAGTGGAAATTAGGTCAGACTACGAGGCAGGAGACCTAGGTCTCTTCTACTCCCTTGCTATGTGACGCTGAGTAGGGTGCTAAATTCCGAGCTTCATTTTCCTCATCTGTAAAGGGAATGGGCTGGATGAGATGGTGTGTAAGGTCCTTTCCAGATTTAAATCCTATGTGTGGAGTGAATAAAAACTCAATTAATCCATGCTATGGCTTTCTGTGATTGAGCCAATGAGTCAGTACCTATTTCCTGCTGATTACATGTCTGTTCACAAGGAAGTGACTCTAATAAGGGCCAACTTCTGGCAGCGCCTGTACATGGCTAAAGAAAGCAAATTCCTAGAAAAGACTGAACTGTGGGGGACACACTCCAGCAACCAGGTCAGGGCAGTGTCAAAGGTTCATTAAACACCAGATCGGACGTATAAAAACCATAGATACAACCAGACAGGATTTCTAAGCACAGGCTACAAAGGAGAGGCCCAGAGGGGAAGGAATTGATGGAATCTCCCATAGAGGGAAGGAGGTCCAGGAAGCAGGGCCTGGGCCAAGCCTGACAGCTTTCCCAAACTGTTAGCTTGGGGGTGTATGTGGCTTGTATGTGTATGGGTGTGTGTGAGTGTGTGTTCACTCATGCACACATCTCAATCTTTAGTTATGCCTCTGACGTGCTGAAATGAAAAGAAAAAAATCAGAAGTGACAATGAGCTTCAAAGAAATCAGATTTTTAAGATTTTTAACATAGAGACCTAAAAATTCTTCCTTCCCTCACTTCTCCCTTCCTGCCTTGCTCCCCTCATATCCACTCATCTCCTCATGTGACTTCCCTCTAGGATTAGGGCCTCCCTAGGGGAAGCTTGGGGGCTCCTAGGAATTTTGAGGGGCTGAGGGAGTTGAGTGAGGGGCTATTGGTCAGACTTGAGGTGCTCAAGGTAGGGAGGGGTTGGGGATGGAAAGGGCAGGCTGCAGGGCTTGTCTGGGACCCCACCAAAGGAGGGGGGCTCTAACCAGGTCAGCTTCCCTAGGTAGATGAAACCCCAATACAGTACTCACTTATCTTCACTGCCAGACACAGTCTCCACAAAGGGGATCTCTTCCTTCTCCACCTTCCCCATGATGAGACGCTGCTTGTCCAGGTTTATGATACACTGAGGACAAAGTTTAAAATTAGCAGCACTGCCTAAGGACCCTCACCCCCAGACTGTCAGGGGACCAAAAGGAAGCAAAGTCAGCCCTACCTTCAAGGACCGCAGAGTCTGGAGCCCAAGAGTGAGATTTCTGTCATTGTCCTCTGGAAAAGAAGGAAGACTGTCTAGTGAGAATCTGCTACCTGCAGCTTCTATCCATAGCTACAGAAGTGAGTTCCTAGAAGTGGAAACTGGGACGGGTTCAGGGGAACTTTAGCACAGGCTTGTGGGAGGGTGGGAAATCAGACCTTAAACACAGCTATCTTCCTCCTAAGGATATTGAGACTCCTCCACCTTCACTGCACACTGCTATTTCTAATTAATTCTCACCAGGCCTCCTGAGGTAAATGCTTGGGACTGCTTCCCCTATTTTATTGAGCCCAGACAGGATCACTGACTGACCTCACAAATCCTGGGGTGATAATTCTGCAGATGGCAGAGACCCTGTGGAACTAGCGTGAGATTTGGGGAAGTTTAGTGAGGGAAGGGTGATCCTTGGGTCCAGCCCACAGCCCTCAAGCCCCACTCACCAACCACAGCCGCTGGGCAGTCCAGGCGTAGGGATCCCAGTGTAAGTGCAAGGTGCTCAATCTGGCCCACCACTTTGAGATGCCGGGGCAGGGAGAGCTTTTCCCCATCATGTTTATGGGACTTAACGTGGTCCTTTAACCTGCACCAGAGAAGAAAACACCCAGATCTGTGGTTGCAGTTTTTTTTAGGTCTAGGGCCTGGGCTTCCTGGGGGATGTCACAGGGGCTCAAGACTACTGGCACCAGACTGTCCTCATTGGTGGAGATTGAATACTCAGTGATCCAAGCCTGCACTGTGGCGATGGTGGGGGGTGGGGTGTGAGAGCTTGGAAGGAGAGAGCTCCTGATTGTCTGGCTTCCGTCTTTGAGAGAGAAGATGCCCAGGTGCAGATTCTCTTCAGGGAGAGAAAGATTCTGGCACGAAGAGAGGTGCCAGAACCTTGCCCATGTCCCTAACCTCAGCTCACCACACTAGAGACTTTGGAGAATTTCTCCTTGGTAAGAATCTGGGACCACATATCTTCTTCCTCAAAGGTAGAAGGCAGAAGAAGACCAAGATTTCTCTTCTCCCAAGATCTCCCCAGCTCTGCCCATCACACAGGACTATTGAGTAATCAGTCTCCATAATGAGGAAAGTCTTTTGCATTTGGGTGTGAGCTCTGGTTACACTGGTATTCATTCAGATTATGCCTGCTCGATGACCTACATCAGACATTCTATAGGGGATCCCTTAGGAACACTTTATACAGAGGTGAGCCAGTCGGGTTGCACCAAAGCAATCCAAGTCATGGCTCTTGACCATGAAGCCCAGGAGGCAGGGTGGTAGGTGGAGTAGAGCAGTCACTGCATGTAAGTTTGAATCCAGGTTCTTGTCACCTGTGTGGTCCTGGGCAAGTCATTTATCTTGACCTTGGTTTCCTCACCTGTAAAATGAGGGGGTGGGAGTAGATGATCTCCAAGGTCCCTTCCGGGCAGCGAGATGGTGCCATAATACATGGAGCACTGAGCCTGGAGTCAGTAAGACTCATCCTCCTGAGTTCAAATCCAGTCTCAGACACTTACTAGATGTGTGACCCTGGCCAAGTCACTTCACCCTGTTTGCCTCAGTTTCCTCATCTGTAAAATGAGCTGGAGAAGGAAATGGCAAACCACTCCAGTATCTTTGCTAAGAAAACCCCAAATGGAGTCATGAAGAGTCAGACATGACTGAAAAATGACTAAACAAAAAAGGTCCCTTCTAGCTCCTATGATTCTGACTTACTTTATAGCTTTTCATCTAGCATAGACTAGATAGTAGGAGGGAGATCCAGCCATACAAGTATTGAATGGATAAAGCCTGGCTGGACAATGGTGTATATGAATAAAGGCCTGGTAGTTTTAGTGGACCATTAACTTAATAGGAGCCATTCATAAAGTGATACAGCTTCCAAAAGAGCAGATGCTATCTTCTACGTAGCATAAGCCGAATGTTTAGAATGAGGGAGATATAGTCCCATCATATTCTGCCCCAACTAGCCCACATCTGGAATATTGTGTTGAGTTGGGGGGGCGCCATTTTGGAAGGCCCTTGATGAAATGGACTGCATTGAGAAGATTGCAACTTTGGTAATGAGGGACTGAAAATCATGGCATATGAGAATCATCTGAAGGTACTAGGAGGGCCAGTAAGTAAAAGAGGGTTAGACTCTTGGCCAGTCAGGACAGATTTTCAAGTCATGAGTAGAAAGTTGCAGAAGGCAGAACTTGGTACCATATGATCAAGGACTTCCTAATAAGCAGAGCTATGCAAAAGTATAATGGGCAGCCTCTAGAAGTACTGAGTTCCTCATGCCTGAAGGTCTTCTACAAAAAGGTAGCTAGTACAAATATTATTATCCTCATTTTACAAAAAAGGAAACTGAGGCTCTGAGAAGTTGTGACAAGTCCATAGGTATACAGCTAGTTAGTGGGATTTGAATCCAGGTTTCTTGGTCCAAGGCCAGTTCTGTATCCATCATGCCACCCTGTCTCTCATGCATATATTAGGATAAGAAGGTTAATGTCTAGCCTAGGTGGATAGCTGGGCCAAACAATGGATATGTAAGGCCATAGACTAGGTTGTTGACTTGGGAAAGCCTCAGCCGAAGTGCCCACATTAGTGAGAAATTACACAGCTGTCTTTATGAGGAATTCCAGGGTGGGCAGTGGCTCTCCCATAGCAAAGTTTCCTTACTCTGCTGTTACCAACTTCTTTTTTTCTCACCAATTAAATTAACTCAATTCAACACACATGTATTGTAAGTTGTCTACTATATGCAAGGCAGTGTGCTTCATGCTGTGGATATAATCTACCTCCATAGCACCTCCTGCCTCCGAGCACGTCCCTCCATTCATAGGGCCACCATCTTAGTTTGGGCCCTGGTTGGGTCCTGGATTATTTCATCAGCTTCCTAATTAGTTTCTTTGCCTCAAGTCTCCCTTCTCTGCAAACCATCCTTCACATATCTGCCATATTGATACCAAAAAGCACAGGTGTGACCATATCATTCCCCATTCCAAGAAACTCCAGAGATTCCCTCTTGTCTCTAGGACAAAATATAAATTCCCATTTGCATTTAAACCCTTCACCAAGCCCCAGACTACCTCTTCAAGTTTATTGTACACTACTATGTCCATGAACTTCACATTCTAGCCCAGCTGATTGACTGTTGCCCCATACATGACATTCCAACTCTCATCTCTGTGCCTTTGCACGTGCTGCTCCCCATGTCTAGAATGGACTCCTTCCTCGTTCTCCAGTTGCTAGTTCCCTGAACTTTCCAAATTAGTTTGTATATAGGTTGAATTTTCTTATTTGTATATGTGTATATATGTATATAAAATGTATGTGTAGATATGTGTATATGAATATGTATGTGTATATGGAGGGGGAGAGAGAGAGAGAGAGAGAGAGAGAGAGAGAGAGAGAGAGAGAGAGAGAGAGAGAGAGAGTGAGAGTGCCTCCCTCCAGAAAAAATGTAATCTTCATGAGGGCAGGGAGCATTTCATTTTTGGTTTTGTATTCCCAACCCCTTGCTCCTGACACATAGTAGATAATAAATATTTGCTGAATGAATGAAGGTTGAATCCAAATTGTGAAGCACCCTAAATGCTAAGTTTGCATTTTCTCTTAGAGGCAACAGGAAGTCACTGAAAGTTTTTGATCAAAGGAGTGACACGGTCAGATCTTTTTCTTTTTTTAATTTTTAATTAATAATTCATTTTTAGGCAACTGGGGTTAAGTGACTTGCCCAGGGTCACACGCTAGTAAGTGTGACGTGTTTGGTCTGAGGCCGGATTTGAGCTCAGGTACTCCTGACTCCAGGGCCAGTGCTCTATCCACTCTGCCACCTAACTTCCCCCAGATCTTTTTCTTAAGAAGATAACTTTAGAGGGACAGCTAGGTGGCGCAGTGGGTACAGCACTGGCCCTGAAGTCAGGAGGACCTGAGCTCAAATCAGGCCTCAGACCAAACACGTCACACTTACTAGCTGTGTGACCCTGGGCAAGTCACTTAACCCCAATTGCAAAGAAGAAGAAGAAGAAGAAGAAGAAGAAGAAGAAGAAGAAGAAGAAGAAGAAGAAGAAGAAGAAGAAGAAGAAGAAGAAGAAGAAGAAGAAGAAGAAGAAGACTTTATGAGTGATGTGAAAGATTGATTGGAGAGTGAAAAAATGGGAGTCAGGGAGACCAATTGGAAGCTTATTACAATAGTCCAAGTAAGTGGTGATATGGGCATGAAATAGGGTGGTGATAGCATAGGTGGAGATAACTGGCCCAAGGGGAGAAATGTTAAAGGTCCAATCAATAGGAGTTGTCAGTTGCTTGTGTACGGGAAGAGAGTGTGGCATGATTTAGAATTACTCTGAGGCTTAACGGTGGGTGATCGGAAGACGGAGGGGCACTCAGCAGAAGCAGGGGTGCATTTGGAAGGAAGCTGATGAGTTTGGTTTTGTGTGTATTCAAGTGAAGGTACGAGAGAGACATCCAGGTAGAAAGACCCTACAGAGAGCAGTCGTTGGTGCAAGACACCTACATTTGCGTGGTTCAGGAGGCAGATTAAGACTGTTTATGTAGATTTAGGAGTCACCTGCTTAGAGGTGATGACTGAACCTATGGAAGGAGATGAGATCCCTAAGCAGTGATAGGGAGAGGAGGAGGCACAGCATCAAAGGTCGGTGCCCTGCCTTGGGAGCAGGTGGATAAATGAACCAGCCCCTGAGACCGAGGAAGTCCGATGGGTGGTGGGAAAACCAGGAGAGCAAACTGGCACAGGTGCCAGGGGAGGAGAAGGGAGCCAGGAGGAGGGGATGGTGAAAGGCCTTGATCTTTTTGGATCCCCAAAGCTCAGCACAGTGTCTGGTGCACAGCAGACACTTAGAAAATGCTATTTGTCTCTGGCTACTTGTCAACGCCAATGTGTCTTAGGTCCTTTAGGGCAAAACCAGGTCAACCTAATTCACATGCATGACCCAGGGGGGCAAATGATAAACACACTTCGGTGCTGGTGATGACAACGAATACCACTGGGATTGGATCCCAATCAATGAAACCTACTTGGGGGTGGGAGAAAATGGCAACAAAAACTGCAGGCAGTTACAGCGGCTGATGGAAGTAACTAGCACCGAAGCAATTATGGGCTTGTGGGAAAATACATAATTACAGACTTTCTGTGCCAACACTTCTGATTTCCTCAGCAGCCTCATGGGGCTGCTCCTTTGGTGTGGTGGTTTTGGTTTTTTGCCAATATAGCCCATCCAACAAAAAAGTAATTGTGGTGTTTTAAACATGGTTATTACTTCCTTGAGTCTCTAACAGCTTCTCTGGAATTATGGCAGTCTGTGGCTTACTTCTATCCCCAGACCATGATGGCTCAAGACCTTCCCAATTAACCAAGGTAAGCTAGAATCCCCTAACCAGAGATTTGCAATGCACTTGAACCAACTTCAATGGCTCTAGAGCCAGGGCTAACGATAACCCATTTCAGGAAAATATCCAGCCATATCTAAGAGGCATTTCAATTCTTCATCTGCCTAGGAATAGGAGGAATTGAATATAGTTCAGTCTAAACCAGTCAAGGCTAGGGCTGAATGATTGTTAGATACCAGAATTTTAACTGTGATGGGTTTGTTGTAATTGGGCTTTTTTTTCTTTTTTTTTCTTTTTTGATGAGCAATTGGGGTTAAGTGACTTGCTCAGGGTCACACAGCTAGTAAGTGTCAAGTGTGTGAGGTCAGATTTGAACTCAGGTCCTCCTGACTCCAAGGCCAGAGCTCTATCCACTGTGCCACCTAACTGCCCCAGTAATTGGGCTTTTAGGAGAGGGGAAAAGATACTGGATTTAGACCCATCCACATGGGCTAAATCCTGCAAGAATCTTAGTCTTAATGTGGATTTTAGGGGAAGAGAATAGGGAGGGAAAGGGAAGAAAAGGGAAGGTTGGAGTGGAAGATGGCAGGGGTATTGCTGCTCCCAAGTTGGAGAGCAGAATGAAAGCTGAAGAGAAGACTTCAAGAATTGTGATGTAGGGAAAAAAGGAAGATGAGACGAGTAGTCATAGTTGGCACCCACAGAGACCAAGGCATTTATTTGTCAGCCTAATAATAGCAACAGAAAAGTCTGCTGTTTTCCTGGGGTATGTTAAGGACATAAAGAAGAAACTCCCAAGACTTGTTCAGCCTGATGACTTCTAATCACCTTTGGTGATCCACGTGGACAAAAATGATACCGCAGGAAGGCATCCAAAACTGAATGCTAAGGATTTGGAAGTATTCAGTGAGAAGATGAATACCTTAGGGGTACAAATAAGATTCTCATCCTCATTGTGGATTTGGGAAGTTAACAAACTAAAAGGTAAATAGCTAAGAAGATGCTACCTGGGAAGGGAGTTGAGAATTCTGGACAATAACCATCAGGCTTCCCTTTGATTCCTGCACAATTCTAGCATGCATTATTAAAGGAAAGTTTGACAACAGCTAGAAAAGAAAGTAATGATCATAATGGGTCAGTGCGGCTTTATCAGGAGCAGGTCATGCATCTTCGTCCTTCCGTTCTTTCTTTCTTTCTTTCTTTCTTTCTTTCTTTCTTTCTTCTTTCTTTCTTTCTTTCTTTCTTTGGTGACTAGACTTGTAGATTAGGGGAATGCTGCAGATATTTAGTTCTCAAGGATTAGTTCATCTAAAAAGTATTTGAGGGGCTCAACATGAGTCAACAGTGTGATGAGGTAGCCCAAAAGATTAATGCGTTCTTAGCCTCCATCAAGAAAGGGCCAATGTCAAGAACAAGGATGCCATACTCTACTTTGGTCCGACCACATGCAGAATATTATGTTTGGTTCTAGGTGCTTTGTTTTAGGAAAAACTCTGCTACACTGAAGAGCGTCCAAAGGAGGACAGAAAACTGAATGTGAGGGGGTCTTAAAATCAAGCTGTATGAGGATTGGTTGAAGAGATTTGTCTGTCATAGTTAACAGGAGAGGAGATTTAGGAGGTACATCATAGCTGGCTTCAAGTATGTAAATGCTGTGACACACCGGCCCAGGAGTTAGGAGAATCTGAGTTCAAATGTGCCCTCAGACACTCACTAGCTGTGGGACCCTAAGCAAGTCACTTACCCCTGTTTGCCTCAGATTCTTCATCTGTGAAATGAGCTGGAGAAGGAAAAGACAAACTACTCCCATATCCTTGCCAAGAAAACCCCAAATGAGATCAGGGAAAGTCAGACATAATGGAAACAACTCAAGGACATGTGTAACAGGGATAGACTCAGGGCTACGTTGGAGCCAACTCAAACTGGCTCAGAAGAGCCGATTGTTAAATTTTCAGCATGGGCATTTACACCTCTGCAATTGGCAAAAGCGAAAAAGCAGGAGTTGGTTTGTTGTTTTGTTGGTTGTCTAGACGTAACAAAGTAATGGAGGAAATACTAATAATACAGATTAAATTTAAAAGTGTATTATGAATATTTTTTCCTCCAGAGAGCCAGTTGTTAAATATTTACTATCACACCCCTTGACAGAAGTAATATTTTTTTGGGGGGTAAGGCAATTGGGATTAAGTGACTTGCCCAGAATAACACGGCTAGTGAATGTTATGTGTCTGAGGTCAAATTTGAACTCGGGACCTACTGACTTCAGGGCCAGTGCTCTATCTGCTGTGCCACCTAGCTGCCCCCAGAAGTAATTAAAAAACATTTCTTTGGCTCCAGAGAATAAAGCTAGGATCAATGGGTAGAAATTACAAAGAGATTAATTAAGATTTGACATGAGGAAACAACCTCTAACATGTAGAGCTAGCCAAAAGTGGAAGGGCTGCTTTGGGGAGTAGAGAGCTCTCAAGCAAAAAACTAGATGATCATTTCTCAAGGATGCTGCAGAAGGAATTCTCGTTTAAGTCCAGTGGAGCTCGATGTCATTACTTCAGAGGTCCCTTCCAATTCGGAGGTTTTGAGATCTTGCAACAAAATCGGAAGACCTGGATTTGAATCTCACTTTAATGCTATCACTTATTAGCTCTGTAATCTCAGGCAAGCGACATCTTGTAATCGCATAATGACAACCAGTGACATTTGCACGGTGCTTCGACGCTTGCAAAATGCTTTCCATATGGAGATAAATATGTCATCTCATTTGCTTGTTATGACAATGTGGGAAGGTCCCCGCTGGTTGGAAATCTCCAGTGGCCCAGAAATGTCACGCAGTGGAGTGGTAATGTCTGACTTCGTTCCATCACAAACTGCTACTTACCCTAGCCTGTCCACGCAGGCAGAGGAGATGAGATTATGTTGACAGCCGGTGTCAACCAAGGCTTTCAAGTCCTTTCCAGCGCACTGTGGAAAGAAAAACATGAACGTTGACAGGAGCAGTAACTACGGATGCAAAGGGGAGGGGGACCAAGAGAGGAAGATGCAGAAACTAAGAGAGATTTAGAGAGTGAGACAGCCTCGATGGCTTGTACAGTGGATAGAGCGCTGGGGCCTGGAGTAATGAAGACCCGAGTTCAAATCTAGCCTCAGATACTTACTTACTCACAAGTCACTTAACCTCTGTTTGCCTCAGTTTCCTCAACTGTAAAATAGGGATATTTTATCACTTCCCTCCCAGTGTTGCTGGGAGAACCAATTTGTAAAGTGTTTAACAAAGCCCCCCACACATAGTGGGCGCTTAATAGATGCTTGTTTCCTTCTTTCTTTCCTTGATGGTTCACAGGGTAGGTGAGAGGGTGTTCCTCTGGGACCCCGTTGCCTATCATAGCTTGAGAAATACTCCTATCACCAGGCTTGATCTGAGAGTTGTACGAGGTCCCCCAGACGGACACGCAACCAAGGGAGCGAAGAATTGAGAGGTGGAAGTAACCATGTCCGCCAACTCCTTCCTTTTTCAGGTGAGAACACTGAGTCTGACAGAGGTTAAACAACTTCCCTGAAGGCACAGAGGGAGTGAGCGGTGCTTGCCGGCTGTATATTCTGACTCTGTCCTCCCTGTTCCCTCCGACCCAGTTCAACCTAACTCTAGCCCACTGTCTGGATTACACATCTTGTCGGGGTCCTCCATTTTGGCTGCACACGCCGATTCTTCCTTGGTTTGACACTGAGGTCTAAAATTAAGGACATTAGGCTAGTTCCTGGGTCTTCCCCAGCTCAAAGCCATCTGCAGCTTGGTGCTGATGGTGCTTCTAGAGGGCCCTGGGTTCTTCTCTCTCTGCTGAGTGGGGCTGGGGGAGATCCTCCGGTCAGGGAGGTCCCTCTGATCCTCAGACAGAAGTGCAGTCTCCCTCCCCAACCCCCCAGACCCTTTGTGCGGCGAGTTACCTGGCAGGACACCAGGATCACGTCCCCTTCCGCAGCCTTCTTCAGCCCCTCAGACTTGGCCTGATTGAGTCTGCCGGTCTTGGGGGCCCACGGGACCCGGGCGTTTCGGAGCTTGGAGAGGTTGGTTTCCATGAGGCGCCTTTGCAGGATGTTGTGGGGTTGCTGGAGGAAGACGAAGAAGAAGAAGGGCCTTAGAAAGTTGGCGGGCCATGACCCTCCATCCTACTGCACACCTCCTACAGCCCCACCCCCCATCTATCCACCTTCAACCTCATTGTATTCAGGTATTAAAGCCCATGGCACAGGCTCAAAGTCTCAATGAAACATGTGTGTTCCTAAAAATAACTTTATACTTTTGACTCTCACTCCTTTAAGAAAAAGATTTTTATTGATGTTAATGAAAATTTTTTATTTCCGTTTATTAACTTTTTATTATGGTGGCGGTCAGGGCCGTTTCTCCTAGTTAAGAGGTTTTTGAACTGGCTGAAACCTGTTTCATGGGATGTGAAAAATTTACTTCGGACCTCAAACATTCCTCAGATAAGAAGCCAAAAAGGCAGTCAGGGCTTCCAAAAGTAATTTGACTTACCTTATTTGAGGAAGGATTCAAGTGATGTGGGCTCTGTGGGCATGTAAATCTCCCCTCTCAATCAGCCCATTGTGAACCCTCTAGATGCACTTTAACCTGTAACCTGACTTAGTTTGCCAATAGAGTCTGTTTTAACCAGATTTATTTCCTTAGGGGATGTATGAGATGATGATTCGTTTTAAGGTTGTTCAACTTTTCAATGCTAAGAGGGTTTATGAGATTGCAATATGTAAAAGAATGTATTTCTCTCTCTGATGTAATTTTGTCTATAAAAAGCCTCTTTAGAATCCTAACCTTGGTTCAGGTTTTGTTTTTTTAATCCTGAACCTATGCATAAACATAATAAAACTTAGGTTTTTCGCCTCTATAATTTCTGCGCGTGTGGTAGATTTATTTCGACTACAGTTATCTACCACATAAACTCAAAGAGGAGAAATTTTCCCCATAACATTATCTTTTGATTTTTTTTATTACTTAGATTTCCGCTTCTATCCCTCCCCCTCTCAGAGAGACATTCCTTATAACAAATTTCTTCGAGAAAAGAAAAAAATTCAGAAAAACTGATCAAGACATTGAAAAAAATTGATGCTTTGTGCAATGGTCCACACACATGGACCACCTCCCCCTCCAACTTTGCCTCTCATTTCTACTTCCTCTGCATGGGTTTACCTGGAATTCTGTGCCTAAGGAGGAACTGTGTTCCTGTTCACCTGCAGGGGAATTCTGGGTCAAGGTCATGACCACTAGGGAGTATTGAGGACATTGGCCCCACCTCAGGTGGAGGCAACTGCTCCCCCCTCTAAGTTAATTACATTTCCAACAATAAAAAATTTATACAGGGTGTCCCAAAAGTCTTTGTTCAGTTTTAAGCAAATAGTTTAAATAACTAGCTTGTTCAAGCTTAATAGTTTTCGTTGTTGTTGTTTCTGTTTTTTTCAAGCTTAATAGTTTTAAAACTATTGTATGTATTAACTTTTAGGACATTCTGTACAAGCACTTGGAGACTTACAAAGTGCAGTCTTGAAAACAACCCAGCTGGTGGGGCAGCTAGGTGGCTCAGTGGATAGAACACCAGCCCTGGATTCAGGAGGACCTGAGTTCAAATGTGGTCTCAGACACATAACACTTACTAACTGTGTGACCCTGGGCAAGTCACTTAACCTCATTGCCTAGCCAAAAAAAAAAAAACAACAACAACCCAATGGAGGGGGAGAGGGGTAGGCAAGTATTATTATTCTTATTTTACAAGTGAGGAAACTGAGGCTCAGTGTTACACAGCTAGTAAGTGTAGGAGTCAGGATCAGATCCAGATCTTCTGACTGGAGGAAGGGCAGAGCGAAAAGTCCTGAGATCCTGAAACTCCAAACCCAGCCCTATGCTCTATGCTGCCCGTGCACCCAATGGCTATTTCTGGAGCCCCATTAGAGTAAAATTTCCCCAAAAGACTCTCACTGATGAGGGCAAGGGGATCTGTATGAAGCAGGACTGTTACAAGAGTTATGCATATTCCACGGTCAAAGAGATGGAGGAGGGGATGGTGCTTGCGGACCTTGAAAATGGTTTGAAGGCAGGACCTTCCTCACCCCCAGATGTTTGCTGTACCACCCCAGGTGTCCCCAGTGGAAAAGAGCCTTCAGTCTACCCAGAGTGACTTTCTACTCTGTGGTCTCTACTCCAATCCAGGCAACCAGAAAATTAGTATCCTAAAGAGAGGGGTAAGGTGCCCAGTCAACATCTTTTGCAAGAGGCCTTTCCTGGTGTTCCTTATGTCCCCACTCCCAGTGCATACCCTCTGAAATTATCTCCCATTTATACTATGTATGTGTATATACATATATATGTTTATATATAAATATAACATGTACACATATATATTATGTAACATAAAATATGATGTATAATATAAATTATGTATATTTATATATAAAGATATGCATATATATACACATACATAATGTCTTTTATATATAAATGTGTGTGTATATATTGCATTTACCTAGTTGTTTGCATGTTTTTCCCCCATTAGAATGTGAGCTCTTTGAGGGCAGAAGCTGTATTTTTGCCTTTCCTTTTATCTCCAGATTCTAATGTAAGGCCTGGCACATAGTAAGACCTTAATAAATACTTGTCCATGGACTATTTCCGATCTTACTGAAACTTTCACTTACCTGGGGACCAGTGTCTTTTAGGCCTAGTCAATTTCTTTGTGTCTGCCTTGCATAGAATGTGAGTCAGGGCTTCTCAGGAAGCTAAATGGTCTGGAAATCAGCTTTGGTGCTATCCTATAGACCCCCAAAATACTACTACCCTTAAGGCTGAGACATGCTTTTTTTGTGTGTGAGGCATTTGGGGTTAAATGACTTGCCCAGGGTCACACAGCTAATGAGTATTATGTGACTGAGGCTGGATTTGAACTCAGGTCCTCCTGACTTTAGGGCTAGTGCTCTATCCTCTCCGCCAACTAGCTGGCCCCCCAAAGAAGCATTTTTTTTTGGTCAGACAATTGGGGTTACATGACTCGCCCAGGGTCACACAGCTAGTATGTGTTAAGTGTCTGAGGCTGGATTTGAACTCGGGTCCTCCTGACTCCAAGGCCAGAGCTCTATCCACTGTGCTACCTAGCTGCCCCAAGCCTGGGGGCATGCTTGACCCTCCCCAGTTCTGTGTTCATCATCCTCACAGTCAGGAGGGCTAGAATCAGAGAGACAGCTTGGAAGGGATCCCAGAAATAAAAGTATATACATACATACATGTGTGTGTATGTATATATGTGTATATTACATATACGTACATGTATGTGCGTATAACATACATATATTTAAAATTATCTTAGCTCTAAAATAAGAGGGCACCTCAGGGGGCACCTAATCCAACCTCTTCGTTTCATAGTTGAGGAAACTGAAGCCCAGAGAAATCTCCCACCTCGTCCATCTAAGCCTGGTGGAGGTTGGGGGGATACAATAGACTCCAAGAGAAAAGTCTCACTCCCACACAGTTGATTACTGAGGTATAGGCCCTTCTAGAATCAGAATGACTCACTGACTTATTGTAACCCTGATGGGAGAAGCAGCTTCCCAAAATACCCTGGTTGTTGGCAAAGCAGGTTTTAAATTAGTATCATGGGGGGGGGGGAGGTTAACTGGGGGGGGGGAAGGGCATGCCCTGACGTGGAAAGCCAGAGCTTAATTTGATAAAGAGTGGGTAGAGGCAGGGCTGACTTCTGGTCATTCTCCCCAGAATTCTGTTGTGGCAATAAGGGGCAGGAAGCTCCTTGTCCAGAATCAAACAGAATTTAGCCAGATCACCGAGAGGTCTGGATTAATTTAGACTGCATCAGGCCCTGTCCAAGCTGGAAAGCTGTCTTGTATTCAGCGAGTCTGGTGCCAACGACGGGAGCTCATTCATCCCTCAGAAGGAAACACTGTTTGGTTAAATTGCTTTGAGGGTTTAAAAGAAAAATGTTGAACTGCAAAGATTATGGTTTCTGTACATTTTCATTCAGACAGGAGCAGTAAAGGCAGGAAGCTGAGCCAGGGAGATTTGGGAGCAGGAAGGAAGCCAAAGACTTTCTCCCTCTCCTGGTCCTTCCATGAATTCATTTTTCTATCGGTCTTTTGATCTATTCAAGTTTCCGCTCACCTGACAAAGAGGCCCCCTTTAGGTGCTGCTACCAGAGCTCAGAACAGGCTGCTTTGAGTCTCAAGGGAAAGGGATAGAGTAGTAGAGGTGTAAGGAATGTGAGAAAAGCAGCAAAAATGGATGAGGAGAAGGGATGAGAATGATTGCCTTCAGACAGAAGAAGAGGGAATCAGGGGAAGGGATGGGGTGGGGTGGAGTGCAGAAGAGGCCGAGATGAATTATCCGTGTGTAATATGGGGCATAATTCTCTCCCTTATGCAGATTCCTCTTATTCCCCCGTCTTTCATCAGAGGAAATTAAAATGAGAGTGACGATGAGGTGAATAGTTATGACAGAAAGTATGGCGCAGTGGAGAGATCACTAGCTTCGGCATTAGAGCATGGGTTCAAATCCTGCCTTTGACTCTACCTGGGGGACCTTGGACAAATTTAACTTTTCTGGCCTCACTTTCCTCCTCTGCAAAATGAACAGATTGGACTAAATAGCTTCTAAAATCCCTTCCAGCTGTTGACCTATGATCTCCTGACCTGAGCTCTGTTACCTCCCTCTTCCATCTATCACTCCATGGGACTAAGTGGACCATTTGTTCATAGCCCTATGGACAGTACTGTAAGCCATTGGTATTAAAGGCTCCTTGGTGACCTGAATTATGAGTACTCTCAAGTGGGGAGTACCAGGCTGTCCTGTGTTATCTCAGGGTCAGGGACCTGAAGTCAGAAAGAAGGAGAGAGCCTGGGCTGGGAAAAGAAAGATGCAGCAACAAACTGATGTGGGTGAACACTGTACACACTAACAACCAGTGCTGTGTGATGACCATCTTTGTTAGACTTAGCTCTTCCGATGGAAAAATGCCATCCACATCCCAGCAAAGAACTATGGACTCTGAAAGCAGATTGAAGCATACTATTTTCTCTTTCTGTTGTTTTTTCTTTCT